AAAACTTCCCCTCAGAGAGACTGGGAGAGAACTTGAATTTGTGTGGCTTAGCAACTGGCCCCTCACACTGGGATGCCTGGTAACCACAGCTGCCCTTAACCACACTGACAAACATCGGCTGTTAATCATTAATTCTCGCCTAACTCGAGGCTCACAGTCTACAAAGAAAACGGGGAAGGTCTGGTGGCTTCTTGATGCGTGGTGTGGCCCCAGGGAACGTCACCTGTTGGGGGTGGGGACAAAGGGAGGCGCGGACTGCAGGTGCCCAGCGCTCCTAGACTCAGTTTCCCTTTGTATCAAGTTGCCTCCTCCGGGGTTATGTTGATATGGTCACTTCCAAGACGCCAACCCCTTTTTTATTCATCTTACAAACACTGAAAGTCTGACTTAATTTTTTTTAAAGAAACGGAGAAACATGGGGCTTTCCTGTCTTTCTTTAGAGTCTGCAATTGGAGACAAAAGGGGAGGTAGGAAGTCACGTGTCTAGCTTTTGCAAGCAATCAAAACCCGTCAATTCTCTTTGCCTTTTTTTTTTTTAATGTTTTAATCTTTATTTATTTTTGAGAGAGAGAGAGAGCATGAGCAGGGGAGGAACAGAGAGAGAGGGAGACACGGAATCTGACGCAGGCTTCAGGCTCTGAGCTGTCAGCCCAGAGCCTGATGCGGGGCTCGAACTCACCATCCGTGAGCTCATGACCTGAGGCGAAGGGGGATGCTTAACCTACCGAACCACCCAGGCCTCCCCCCGGAAATCATCTGTTTTAAAAGTCTGATTTACATAAATTTTAGTTCCCTTGCAAAACTAAAACCAAAAAAAGTACATCAATTTTAGAGAGATAATTTTATGGTTCAGAGAAGACTTCCAATTCTTCATAGGAAAGCAAAGTACGATTTTAGGTTTACAAATGCAGTCATAAATTAAAAAAAAACATTCTTGGGGTGCCTGGGTGGCTCAGTCGGTTGGGCGTCCAACTTCGGCTCAGGTCTGATCCTTCCGTTTGTGAGTTCGAGCCCCGTGTGGTGCTCTGTGCTGACAGCTCAGAGCCTGGAGCCTGCTTTGGATTCTGTGTCTCCCTCTCTCTGCCTCTCCATCCCTCTCGCTCTCTTTCTCCTTCAAAAAATAAATAAACATTAAAAAGAAATGAAAAAGGAACATTCTGAAGATGAAAGGAGAAATAAACCTGGAGACAGGTTTGCCTCCATTCGAGATCCTTCTGAAGTTATTGGTATCAGAGGGGATACTAGACTTCGTTCAGTGACAATGCGGTGATAGGAGTGGGATCTTCGGAGCTTAGAAAACGCCACCAGCTTCCTTTGAGCCTTTTAATATTTGGAGACAGAGACCCTCTCATTTCATGTCTGTTACACGTAGGTTGCCATTATCTGAACCGTTTCTGAAAGTGTGGAAGACCTAATCCCCAGTGGCCAAGTGCCGGTGAGGAGAGGTGACCCAGGATTAGGAACACTGGACACTGTTTTCCAAATTCTTATGGAAATGGAACTATGGAAAAAGAGAACTTACTGAAGGAGACAGTGAGAGAATAATTAGTGAAGTAATGTAGCTTCGAAGTTTAGCTCCGTATAAACTAATTGGACACTTTTTGAAGAGAGAAGACAGCGTTGTGTCCCATGGGGCAGAAAATTAAGGGGGATTTGGACTCAGAAGAGGCGTTTACCCAGAGTGCTAAGGACTAGTGTGGCATTCTATCAGGAAGGCGGCTCTTCAGCCATTTTTATTTCATCTGTTGCCAAGATTGGGTCACCTGTCTTGGCAGAAAGAGTCCTTCCTTAGTTGCTTTCTTGAGTTTCCCACTTAAACTGAATTACATTCCAGTTACACAAAAAGTGCATATTTATGACACACTGCTTTCTATGAAGCTCAAACACAGAAGGGCAATTTTATGCCAAGGCAGGTTTTCACGGAAAACCGATATGTGGAGTTATATAAAGTCCTTACATCCCTGTACTGTTTACTCCATGAAACCCCATCTCTATCCTAAAGCTTCAATGAAAAGACCATAATGATAACCTTCCAACCCTATTCAGAGAAACAGAAAGACTCTAATGAGAGCAATACTTCATTGGGAAACCAAATAACAGCATCCCAAGTTGGGTTTAGCTAGTTAGTGAAATCTCTAAAGCTTTTGAAATGATATAAAAATTCCAAACTATCTTTGTCCATCCAGGTAAAAGTGGAATAAGGGTCTTACTTGCATAGAAATTCTTTGAGATGAAATAGACCTTCCTTTCAAACTAACAGAAAGTATTCTAAAGACTTCTTTCAACTAATGCCGCTGCAGTCTAGAATTTTAAGGTCAACTACTTTTATCTTAAAGGCAAAGTCCCCCCCCCCCCCATAACCCAAATAAAATGCTTTTGAAGGCTAATGGAAATGGGGAATTTCTAGACAAAAATCTTAGGAAGAATCCAGAACTTAGTCTGCAGAGACCGAATTGCAAGTCAGAATTTAGCAGCATTGATGACCTACAATCTCCTGTCTGGGACAAAGAAAACCACACAGGCGCACTGCAGTGGAGACCCCTCTTCTCAATCACGGCCACAGTCAGCTTTCTCTCGGAGCTCCTTTCTCTCCCATCAAGATTTGCTTTGAAAGAGGGCATAGCCTCCCACGTCCAACAGCCCCATTCTTGCTGTCCCTGAAATATCCCCTTTTCATTATAACGTATCAATGCTGACCTTCGATGGGAGTTTCTCGACCCTGCCATTATCGATATCTGGACCAGATAATTCTCTGTCGCGAGGGGCTGTCCTGTGCCCTGGCTTCTATCCACTGGATGTCTGTAGCACCCCCTTGCCCAGGTGTGACAACCAAAAATGTCTCTAAACATTGCCACATGTCCCCTGAGCGGGGATTGTCTCCAGGTGAGACACTGCTTTAGAGGATAATGAAAATAATGAATGGTGGTTATAATTGCTCCCGTGACCCTTTATGAGGCACCCTGATAGGGGCTGGAGACCCAATCTGGGATCTATGAATGCCACGCGCAGTCTGGCTCTGTCCTCGCCAGTGGCCTTGAGTTCATCTGTTCACCTCCTCAAGCCTCCGCTGCCTCCTCTTTAGAATAAAGATGCATTTATTCATTAGACATTTACTGAAAGCCCAACTATATGCTATATGAATGAAAGACAGCCTCCTTCAAATTCGTTCATAATTTGGTGAGGAAACAGTAGTCAACAATAACTAAAAGTTGCAAACTTAAGTTAGAGGTTTTGCACACCTTGGGGAGAACGAGACAGATGCCGGAGGCGTGGGCTGACCTCGGATGAGGCGTGTGCCTGTGCTGTGTGTTCCACGCGTGCAAATGCTGGAGTAACAGGGACCATTCCAGTACCTCTGGCTCCGATCAGCAACTTTTAACACAATCATCACAACCCAGGGGAAGTCCACATTTCAAAACCCTCTTCCCGGTTTTGCCGAAATGAGGTCATCCCCTGACCAGCGGTTGCCCAGCAAGCATTCCAAAGTCCTATTCAAACACCCATTAGAATTAATCCTAAAAGCCAGAGATGAAAGATTCTGGTAGCAAGCCACTTATTTTTCCTTTTAAAGATAAAATGACACCCACACAGAGCGAGGACCACTGTGTTTATTGCACGCCAAAGTAAACGTTGAAGCTGTCTTTATTTTTAATTGTTTCGTGGAACCCAGCCAGCCTTGACAACGTCTAGAACATTTCCTTCCGGAGTCAGCACTTCCCTATCGGAGGCGGTTGTGAGGAAGGCGCACCTCATGGCTTTCCTCCAGCCCTTCGCCTTTAGCCCTTTCTACTACTTAACGTGTCTTTCGGTGGGGAGGGAAAAAATATTTTTAGAAACTTCACTTTTCCGTCTTTCTACTTGTTTTGCACAATAGTTTGTAAATGGGCAGCTCTCTGTAAGTGTGAAGTCAGTGTAACTGACTTGGATCCCAGCTACCTGGTGCCAGCTGTGGTCATCGCCGGCACGGCTGGAATTTGGGTCTCATAGGGACTTAGGTCACATTTTTCCCAGGGTGACTCCCTGCTACCGTGAATTTACGAGACTGGATTTACGAAACGCTGCATACCTCATGCGTCTTGAATTACCACCGCAGAGCCCCATAGCCATGGACACCCCCCGCCCAGCCCCGAACAGCAGATTCCTTGCCCTGCTGGAAGGCTATGTGATACGCTTGTTATAGGAGCTGCAGGCCTGCGAGCCTCGCCTGCACACCCAGTGTGCCAGTGCCAGGTAACAAGGTAGGAGGCCCAGATGAAAAGGTGCGCTATTCGTGCTCTCATGGTTCGCGAGTTCGAGCCCTGCGTCAGGCTCCACGCTGATGTGCGGAGTCTGCTTGGGATTCTCTCGCTCTCTGCCCCTCCCCTGCTCACTCTCTCCAGGTCTCTCTCAAAATAAGTAAATAAACATTAAAAAAAAAAAAAAAGAAAAAGAAAAAGAAGAGATGCATTGTTATTCTCCCAGGTTCAGAAAACTCTTTCTTAGAAAAGTGAGTCTTATACAGGTTCCTGCCCTTCCACTTGGCAGAACAAAATGCAAGCTTGCTGGAACTTCACCCCAAGGGAGGCGACCAGTGGTAGGTTTCAATGACCATGCAGGTGGGGAAGAGAGTAGAAATTTCTGTCTCTAAGAATATACTGTGATCCAGAGGAGGCAGTAAGACAAGAGTGATGCCAGCACAAACACTGTGCTAGAATCTGGAGTCCCTTCCCTTCCCTTCCCTTCTGTTTCACAGTCAGAAGAAAATACTGCATTTATTTATTTATTTTAACGTTTATTTATTTTTGACAGAGACAGAGACAGAGACAGAATGCGAGTGGGTTAGGGGCGGAGAGAGAGAGGGAGACCCAGAATCCGAAGCGGGCTCCAGGCTCTGAGCCGTCAGCACAGAGCCCGACGCGGGGCTCGAACCCACGAGCTGTGAGATCATGACCTGAGCCGAAGTCGGACCTGAGCTCAACCGACGGAGCCACCCAGGCGCCCCAGAAGAAAGCACTTTAAAATCACGTTCTTTTGCCATTTTATGGCACAACAAATAATCACGGAAATGTTCATTTGTTATCTCCCGGTACTCGCGTTATGACTGAATGCCGAACGCCTACTGGTGCAAGACCTTGTCCTCGGCAGCTGCGTATACATTGTCCCTTTTTACCCTCAGGACAAGGACACGAGGTAGATACCACTCTCCATGATTTTGCACATGAGGACCCCACGGCTCAGGACTTGAAGTGAACCTAGGATGTAAAAGCGTAGGCTACAAACTGGGCTCTCTCCCACCTCCAGAAAGCTTCGTGACGCCCGTGACTTCATCAGAGACTGGTGAGCCCATCACCGACCTGTGTTTTCTCTAAAATCCAGTCCACATACTCAGCGACTTTGGTGTAGACACCCGGTTGTTCTCTGCGGCCACAGCCTTCACCCCAACTGGTGATACCGACCAAATGCCATATTCCATTGTGTTTACAAACTAAGGGACCGCCTGAATCGCCCTGTGGCACAGCGGGTGGAAAAATAAAATCACAGAAAAGTATGACAGACGTGCCTTTAAAATTCTCTGGTCACACTGCACGCACCCCACACATACGGTTTCTTATACTTTTGTCGTATGTTCCTCATTGGCTGCTGATGGGATGAAAATGATTTAATTCAGTAGCGTATGGGTGCGTTTTCCGTTTTTTCCAACAAGGAAATGTTGACATCATAATCTCAATGTCAAATACATCTAATGCTCTATATGTTAGTACAGTTGTTATATGTACAACTGTGCTCCTTAAACATAGTGTATATATATATATACATACTATATTAATTTATATTAGATATATTATATATTATTATATATATTATTACATATTTATATGATAAAAATATAAATATATATAAATAAAAAATATAAATATATATAAATAAATAAAATAAAAATGATATACATTCATTAAAGGTTATTTATGAAGTTGCCAGGTTATGTGGCTCAGAATTTTTTAAGAAAAATATAATGAAACATACTATGAGAAATGTATTTTGGAGCTAATTTTCTCAAGCAGGTTACTGTGTGTTCTTTGCGCAAATGTATTACCTTACAGGCATCTTTGCCTCCTTCTTTATAGCCAGCACAGATCATCTGTTTGGTTACTTCATAATCTCTATATTTTTTCTGGCATTCTTCACTTGATACCAAAGGAATATTTGCCTTTTGTAGGATATTTTGGATTTTGCCTAGAAGGTCACCAATATGTAACTTCAGAAGGAAGAAATAAGATAAATAGGAAACATACTAACATCTTAAAGCAGATCAGAATAATGAGCTTTTTGTTCAGGTCATTTCTTTAGATTAAAAACAGTAGGGTGAGTGGGGCGCCTGGGTGGCGCAGTCGGTTAAGCATCCGACTTCAGCCAGGTCACGATCTCGCGGTCCGTGAGTTCGAGCCCTGCATCGGGCTCTGGGCTGATGGCTCAGAGCCTGGAGCCTGTTTCCGATTCTGTGTCTCCCTCTCTCTCTGCCCCTCCCCCGTTCGTGCTCTGTCTCTCTCTGTCCCAAAAATAAATAAACATTGAAAAAAAAAAAAGTAGGGTGAGAAAGTAGCGTTAATCACACAAACAGCGAGTAACAGAGAAGGAAAATTGAAAAACAGAGAGAGAGAGAGAGAGAGAGTGCACGCCATGTTTTGGCCTCTGACATGTAATATTAGGACAACCCTTCCATATCCTCTGTCATCTCCTCTCAGTCGATGTCTCTCAGAAATTCCCTCTTATCTCCTCCAACCCAAAGGCTGTAAGTTCTCACCTCTCGGTTTTTGTTTTATATATTCAACATGATCATTCTAAAATATATCGTTTCAGGGGGAGGGGATCACCAGACCTCTGACAGCAGAGGAGTATTTTGCTCTTTGAGTAAGTCCAAGTATTTTCCACGAAGAACAATTTCTTGAAAAATAATTAAATTTCCACCACTCTCCAGGTTCTCCTTGAGCGTACACTGGGAGCCTTCCTTGTTTAGTTAAGGTTACTTTTACAATTTCTTCCTGTCTTCAGGCACTTATCAAAAATTGGAAAAATTTGAATTCATCGAGTAAAGGAGTAAGTCAGGAAAGAAGGAAAGAGCATGACAAGCTTAAATAGGTAAAGAATGCTGCAAATATTACTCCCTATAGTGTCTATCAGGAACATAGTTTTGGAAAGGGAGAAGAGTCTGTTTGCTGGAAAATTCAAGGCCAGTTGAAATACACCAACAACCCATGAACAGGGGCTCTTAAACGGGGTTGCACCAAAAGAAGTCACTTGTTCTATTAACTTGCATCGGAAAATACATCTTTACTTTCACCGATATCCAACTGCAGTCTAACTCCTTTCAATTAGGAAGGCAAGCCCCAAGCAAGGGAGCGTTAGCAGAATCTACGACCTTGCCATCAATAGAGAGCCCAGATATTTGCATGTCACGGTCGCGATATTTGCACATTACAGTTGTGGCAGATAACGGTAAATATCACTTGCGCTCATCACAATTTCTAAATTACGGCAGTTACCTGAACAACTTGCTATTTCATATATTAACAAAGAAACTCATGCATTACTATAGCACATCCTCTGAGAAGTATTTTGAGAGCTCATTTGCAATTTCACTGCTGTCCTTCGGGTTTCTGTGTGTTTTAAGTATTTAAAAGTGGTTCATGGGCTACATCAGATTGCAAGAAGGATGTATTTAAAAAACAAAAACAAAAACAAAAAAAACCCAACAAGATTGACAGCCTGTCAGAGAGATGGTTTGCCTGCCTGTGCTCCAGGTCCTTAACATCAAGGCACAGAGAGATGGGAACACTATTAATACTGAGGACAGGATGGGCTTGAGCAGTCTTGTTAGCCCTGTATGGGACCAGTCCTTTTATGAAGTCCCACAAGTGATCTTTATTATAAAGTAAGATGCTTAAAAGGTTGCCTGATACATTTCCCCAGACCCAAACAAAAATATAGCTCAAAAATCACCGAGTGGGGCGCCTGGGTGGCTCAGTCGGTTAAGCATCCGACCTCAGCTCAGGTCATGAACTAATGGTTCATGGATTCGAGCCCCACACAGGGCTCTCTGCTGACAGCTCGGAGCCTGGAGCCTGCTTTGGATTCTGTGTCTCCCTCTCTCTCTGCCCCTCCCCTGCTCATGCTCTCTCTCTCTCTCTCTCTCCTTCAAAAATAAATAAAAACATTAAACAAAAATTTTTAAAAATCACTGAGTAAATATTTGAGGCGAGAGAAGACTTCTCGTAAGAACAACATTTAAAATGTCATGCCGTACCTTTTTCTTTTGTGAAGCCCCATCCAGTCACCCAACAATTAGTATACATTGTGTTTGTATCATCTTTGGAAGGCAGGCATATTGGTTTTTGGAATTCTGAAAGGTAATTTTTAAATTAGAGTTTGGTTAAACAAAGGTATGGATATTGACTTTAAAAATACACACCTTTCTCTTCCTGGATTCTCTTTCTATAGGGCAGCACCAAGGAAAATGACCCTTTTGCTTTCTGCGCAGTTGCTGAGGGCAACGATTCAAGAAACTTTCTCATCTCCCGAGTCATTTTCCCATGACGTGTTTGGTGTCACATCTTCTGGATTCAATCTTTTTTTTTTTTTTTTTAATTTTTTTTTTCAACGTTTATTTATTTTGGGGACAGAGAGAGACAGAGCATGAACGGGGGAGGGTCAGAGAGAGAGGGAGACACAGAATCGGAAACAGGCTCCAGGCTCTGAGCCATCAGCCCAGAGCCTGACGCAGGGCTCGAACTCACGGACCGCGAGATCGTGACCTGGCTGAAGTCGGACGCTCAACCGACTGCGCCACCCAGGCGCCCCTGGATTCAATCTTAAACCTCAGAACACAAGTTTCTGCCAAAAGCATTAGAGGTTCTCGCGTTTGATCCTGTGGGTGATACTTTGCAGAGTGATAATGGAGAATCTCCAGGCACGATTTTAAGCGCCTTAAGGTATTAACTGGCAATTTTTATGACAAACCAAAGGGTCATTATCACGCTCATTTTACAGATGAGGAGATTTGAGGTGCAAAGAGGTGAGAGCAACTTGCCCGAGGTCACGGGATCGTTACTGGGCGCGGTGGGCATTCACCAACCGTGGACACTATTCCTCCAAAGGCCACACCTCCAACCATCACACTACCGGCTTCCCAGAACCTCCTTCTGCGCACGTTCGACCTGGGAATTAGGATCTGGCCCCGTCTGCCTTCCTGTATTCCTAATATGCCCCAGGCAGTGGTAATTCCGCTACTTGTGCCAAAGCGAGCCAGGCTTCCCAAATGGCCATTTCCGATGTTGCCTTATTTCAATAACGGATCGGTGGTTGTATTCCTCCCTGAAGAAGCCAACTGATGTTTCTTGACCCTTAAGTAGAAGCTATTTATCCAGATCACAGATGTTCCCTTCCTTGGCAATTCTCACCTTTCTTCCAGCCCCACCCACCAGGAAATAAAGACAATCTGTCCACATTCTGCCCTCTCATTCAAACGGGTGTGAAAATGTAAACCGCTGAACTCAGATGTCTAGCTTCTCCTCGATCGAATACGCCGCGTACCTGTGTAATTCAAAGGAGGCTCAAGTCTTATCAAGGCAAGATCATCACCACTGTCTGACATTTTGTAATTTGGGTGAATAATCATCTCCTTTATTCGTGAGAAAGGCGTTTCTGTTGTTATCTGGGACAGATTAAAAATGCCACTGTAAACACGCCAAACGTCCTGCAGGGGAAGCCTGGGAGAAAGAAGCAAATACCTATTTGACCCCAGAAAGACTGGCCTCTGATATTGGTCCCTTTTCCTGTCGCTTCACCTTTCAAAAAAAGAACTGGGAAGAAAATGCTACGGGTTATCTTTACTCACCTAATTTCGCTTCCTGGCAACGTGCCATCCCCACCAGCAGCGGTACGGAAACTCTGAAGATTTTAGTTAAAAACACTGAGAATGGACATTTCTGTAGTTATTCCATGCTTACTGTAGGTCAAGATAGAAGAATGTTGCTGTCCCAGTTCTGAGAGAAACTGGTTGGGAGAGACTCACAGGTGATTGTGGGAAAATCCTGCTCAGTTCACCAAACCTGAAAGCAGTTGCTTCCATGAAATCCAGAATCCTCAAGAGGTCGGACCCGTGTTACACAAGCCCCCCTACCCCGGCCGCCCCCGCCGTTGGGCAAATTAGGGAGGCTTCAGCGTTATTTAAAATGTATCTATCTAGGGGCGCCTGGGTGGCTCAGTCGGTTAAGTGTCTGACTTCGGCTCAGGTCATGATCTCGCGGTCCGTGAGTTCAAGCCCCGTGATGGGCTCTGTGCTGACAGCCCAGAGCCTACAGCCTGCTTCAGATTCTGTGTCTCCCTCTCTCTCTGCCCTCTCCCACTTGCGCGCGCTCTCTCTCTCTCTCTCTCAAACATAAAATAAACCTAAGAAAATAATAATAAATAAAATATGAGTATATACAAAGGAAGTCTAAAACTGTGATCAAAAGCTAAGTCTTATCTTGTGTAAAGATTGGGACATTCTTATCACCATGAAGTGAGAGATACAAGATATATTTGCATAAAACTCTAGAGGAAACCATGCAGATAGGGGCAAAGTGGTTGTCTTTCAATTAAATCAGTGTTTCCGTGGATATTATCTCTTATAAACTTAACAACACTGAGTCTTCAAGAAGGAAGGTTCTTTTTTTTTTATTATTGTTTTTAATGTTTGTTTATTTTTGAGAGAGAGAGACAGAATGTGAGGGGCTAGCGCCCAGAGAAAGAGGGAGACACAGAATTCAAAGCAGGCTCCAGGCTCCAAGCTGTCAGCACAGAGCCCCATGCAGGGCTTGAACTCACGAACCACAAAATCATGACCTGAGAGGAAGTTGGACACTTAACCAGCTGAGCTACCCAGGTGTCCCAAGAATGAAAGTTCTTAATGTAAAGTGCTACAGTCACTGTGGAAGACAGTATGGGGGGTTCCTCAAAAATGAAAAAATAGAACTACCTGAAGATCCAACAATTCTGCTTCTGGTTATATATTCAAAGAAAATGAAAATACTACTTTGAGGGATATCCGTACTCCCTTCATAACAGCATTATTTACAGTAGCCAAAATCTGGAAACAACCTAAGTGTCCCTCAATGGATGAAAGCATAAAGAAAATGTGGCATAATATATGTACTATGTCTCCATATACACATAGATATACATAAATGTATTATACATATGCATATAAGTGCACATACATATTTAGGCATGTGTCTGTGTGTGTATGTATACATATACTTATATATAGATATATGATGGAATATTATTCAGCCATAAAAAGAAGGAAATCCTGTAATTTGTAACAACATGGATGAGACTTAAGGGTATTATGTTAAATGAAATAAGTCCGAGAAAGACAAATGTTACATGTTTTCACTTGTATGTGGAATCTAAAAAACTGAACTCATAGATGCAGAGAACAGATTGGTGGTTTTCAGGACAGTGTCATGGCAGGAATGAGTGAAAGTGGCCAAAGGATACAGTCTTCCAGTTATAACACGAATGAAGTCTAGGGACCTAATGTACACCATGGTGACTAGAGTTAACAATACTTGAAATATTTGAAAGCTGCTGAGAGTCGTGAATCGTAAAAGTTCTCACCACACACACACACACACACACACACACAAGTATTTCTGTGTGGTGATGGATGGATGGATGTGTCACCTAACCTTAATATGCTAATCATTTTGCAATACATGCATATGTGAAATCATTACATTGCACACCTTACATTTATACAAGGTTATGTATCAATTATATCTCAGCAAAGCTGGAAAAAAAAAAACACGAAAATTCCTGACCCCCAATTGCATGCATTTAGTAAAAAAGGGGACCTACCATTTCCCTTCTCAGGGTCTTTCCTTTCAGGTCAGTAGCCTTCCCCTTAGCAACGCCCATCCTCCGCTAACTGGGGGTCCATGCTGCTAATTGGCAACCATGAAGGAGCCTTGCTCTGCCCATCCCTGCCACTGACCCTTATTTCAGCAACTGTATCCTCAATCCTGATACATGCAACCCGGGCCCTACCCTTTAGACAGGGGAAGAGGGAGAATTTTACGAAAACAAAACACTTTTTGAGAGAGATCAACTAGCTTTTATTTTAGAGCTGTTAGTATTTCTTGCTTATTCCTATGCTTTGTCCATTTTTACATTTCTTATTTAATTATAGCTTATTTTTTTAAAAAATTTTATGTTCCAAGTATAGTACTTAGCATTTTAAGTTTGTCACTTCATCTAACAACCTTGTGAATTAGATACTATTATTATTCATATTTCACAGATAGGAAAATAAAGCTAAGAGAGATTTACAAACCGCCCAGGGTCATTCGTACTTCTGGTAATTGTGAGAGCTGCCCTGTTCTAACTGCAAAGCCTAAGTGTTTTAAAACTTTAAAACCCTGCCACATGTACAATTTGCCCAATAAAGTAGAAAGGTTGCATCAGATTTTATTCTCTGAAATATAGAGGTTACAAACTATCGCATTTTTGTTTTCACTATTAATGTTATTTAGTGTATTTGTGAATCAGAGAGCTGAAAGTAAATCTCTACAGGCCTGAAAACAAAGTCTTTGAAGAATACATTTAGGGAGCGGTAAATGGAGGTAGCAGCAGACAGGGCATTTTTCGTTTTGCTTTAAAGCAGGAGTGACACCCCCCAGGAATGTCAGGCATTCCTGCAAAGAGGCCACACTGCGTGCTGATGGCTCAGATCTTTCAGTGCTCAGACAGGCCCTACCTCGTTGTTCACCATTGTGAATACAAGCCCTCGCTTGAAATGTCTTTTATTCAAGAAGAATAAACTTTGATCAATAAACGGACATGATGATCTAGACCCTGAACTTAGAGTTTTCAAAACGAAAAGGCAAGATAAGACCCTGGATAGGACGCACCCAAAACTTACCCATCAAAGCAATGGGCGGCAGTTAGGACCCACTGGTGTCCGATGATTGACCCTCCACACAGGTGGCTCCGGGCTGTCAGCTTCACTTGCAGGCTAACTTGCCAAGGCCACTCTCCCCAGGAGGAGTTGGTCCCTCCAACAATGCGTGTGTCTGTTTTTGCTGAGCAGACTGAAAAGAGAGTGTTAAAGTTAATGGTTGGAATTAGAGGTGAATCAGAGTTCTCTGGAGCCAAGGGAAACAAAGTACACCGTTCTATTGTTTAAGACTAAGCAAGCTATCAAAATAACACAGACAAGCCTTTACAGTTCCATGAAAAAGTGAGGCTTACTCACCAGAACCGTCCCCACTTTTACACAGCCTCAAAGAATAACCAGAGCTCGCTCGTGTCCCGTACGTAATCCTAGTTGGGGACCCATCCAAAGATAATCGTAAGGAACACTTACACCTAGATAAAAGGATCGGTATAAAGATTAAACCTTCACAGAGGAGGATCATTCATGAAATTGGCTTGCCGACTGTCTGTGAAAAATGAATGTTCACTAACTTCTTTCTTCTACAGTCTTCTGGGAGTAAAGAATAAGTAAAAAACTGACAGCGAATCGTCTTAGTACAAGTCTCTTGGCAAACATTCACTCCTTCAACAAAGGTTACATTCAACTCTTCCCCTTCAAAAGCAACTCCTGAGTAAATTTTGGAATGGCAGGGCTCTGTGTGAATCAGAGACATAAAAAGGCATTAAATGAAAGCAGCAGTTAAGCCACATCTACACAAGTCGTTGGTACACTGAGGATTGTTTCGTTGCTATTACTTGTTAAAAGATCACTATCATCATTGAATCACATTACCAGGCAAACTTTGCTTGCAGGTTAAAAGGCTGTATCCAGACATGGTGTTTTCCTGAGGAGTAGGGGAACTTGGTGTCCCGCTTTTGGAAGTCTTAAGAAAGCAAACGTTTCTATTAACAAAAAAAAAAAAAAAAAAAAAAAAAAAAAAGCAAAAAAAAAAAAAAAAAAATTGCGTTAAAGGCAAACACCAAACAAAGCACCTCCCGTTTTGAAAAGCACCTCTGCAAAATTTATTCTTCTGAGAAACTCTTCTGTTTAAAAAAACAAAACAACTTTATGTTTTATTTATTTTTGAGAGAGAGAGTGAGTGAGAGAGCGAGATCAAGTGGGGGAGGGACAGAGAGAGAGGGAGACACAGAATCCAAAGCAGGGTCCAGGTTCTGAGCTGTCAGAACAGAGCCGGACTCAGGGCTCGAACCCATGAGCCGGGAGACCATGATCTGAGGTGAAGTCAGATGCTTAACTGAATGAGCCACCCAGGCGCCCCATAGGACTTTTTTAAGTCCAAGATTTTTGTGCTTTTGTTAATATCTTCAGTGTAGAACCCTGAAGCCTGAGTCTCATACAATTTGAATTGAATAATGGAAAAAAGTAGGCAACATGATTATATTTCAATGTATTTAGTAATTTTTTAATGTTTTTATTTATTTTTGAGACAGAGAGAGAGACAGAGCATGAACGGGGGAGGGACAGAGAGAGAGGGAGACACAGAACTCAAAGCAAGCTCCAGGCTCTGAGCTGTCAGCCCAGAGCCCGACGCAGGGCTCGAACTCACGGAGTGTGAGATCATGACCTGAGCTGAAGTCGGATGCTTAACCGACTGAGCCACCCAGGTGCCCTTTTTCTATGATTTTTAAAATGAGGGAACACAAAGGCCTTAATTGTCAACAGCCCGACATGGGACTCGAACCCCTGAACCGCGAGATCATAACCTGAGCCGAAGCTGGACACTTAACCAACTGAGTGACCCAGGCGCCCCCAAGTGTCTGACTTTTGGTTTTGAGTTGGTTTTGGCTCACGTCATGCTCTATTGTTCGTGAATTTGAGCCCCACGTCTCTGGGGAGCCTGCTTGGGATTCTCTATCTCCCAATCTCCTCTCTGCCCCTCCCCCACTTGCACACGCTCTCTCTCCGTCTCTCTCAAAAATAAACAAACATTAAAAAAAAAAAAGAAGAAAAAGAAAAAGGAAAAAAAAGAACATAGGTGGAAAAGTCAATGAAGTTCCTAACTAACCTGCACCTGGCGGAAAAGGGCTTGCTGCGGCTTCGAGCGCTCTGCGCGAAATTCCCAGAAGTTCTCAAACACTCAAACTAGAAAGACGGCGATGACCGGACGGTAGCAAACGTCGCACATTCTTACCTTTGCGGTTCCAGATGCCATGCCTTTGTGTGGAACGTAAAGAAGAGGCAGTTAGGATGATAGGTGCAAATGGTTTGGCATACAAAAGCATCCGGGGTAACCACTCTGGCAACGTCCACATCCGAGAAGGCGAGATGCTGGAAAATGTTCCTGTGGCAACCTGGGAACTCACAGAGGGAAGACAGTCCTCAAACCGCGCGATGCTCAGGTGACTGTACTTTGTCATCGTAACGAAAGGACATGATGACTGTTTGCTATTCATAACGCTAGACATCCTCGAGGGGGGAGAATGTCTGTTGAAATACCCTCAGACTTGTTGTTTGCCATTCGGAAGAAGGAAAAATTGGGCTAAATCCGATAAAAGATCGACTCCCATGTCAGAGAAATGAAACAGCTCAACCTGTGTGTCCAGCCGCAGGCCGACCAGTGCAAAATATTTAGGTTACTCAGCCTATCCTCACATTCTCTTTGTGGTACCTCGACCCTGAATTCCAGGCCTTAGGAGCAGAAGGTTTTGTGTGGTATTTTCCCGAGTATTATGAAAAAGATCTTAATAAAAAGCGTTTAACAAAAATATCAGGTGACCAAAAAATAAAAATAGGAGAAAACCCACCTTCATTATCCTTATGTAATCTTTTTTTTTTTTTAATGTTTATTTATTTTTGAGAGAGAGAGAGAGAGCGCAAGCAGGGGAGGGCAGAGAGAGAGGGAGACGCAGAATCTGAAGCAGGCTCCCGGCTCTGAACTGTCAGCACAGAGCCCGACGCGGGGCTTGAACCCACAAGCTGCGAGATCATGACCTGAGCTGAAGTCTGGCGATTAACCGACTGAGCCACCCAGGTGCCCCAATATAATCTTAATTCTAAATTACGTTTTTATTTGTGTTCATATTATTTACTAAGTTTACTCAATTTGATAACATAAATGTTATTAAAATGATGGGAGCCTGAAGAATAATTATAGCATTTGCAGGAAGGACAAAAGGAGTCCCAGTTTAAATGAACATAGTTGTATTAAGAGAAAGTACCTCCCGTGACATAATACCTACATGTGGGCAGTCTAGGAAATGAGGCTTCAACTAATTAAATCTTTAAAAAAAAAAAAAACAAAAAAAAACCCCCCAAAACACAGATTCTGGAAGCTGAAAGAAAACTTGTGCCAACCTACAACTATATCCCCTGAAGGACGTATGTGACAAGTTGTTCAACTTTTCTGAGATATTTATAGTGATAAGAGCTCACTTCCTCATGACAAGGTCCAATTCTTTTCCTTTAAAAATTTTTTTAAGATTTATTTATTTTTGAGAGAGAGAGAGAGAGACACAGAGCATGAGTAGGGGATAGGCAGAGAGAGAGAGAGAGACAGAATTGAAATCAGGTTCCAGGCTCTGAGCTGTCAGCACAGAACCCGACAAAGGGCTCGAATTCATGAACCGTGAGATCATGACCTGAGTCGAAGCTGGGGCGCTTAACTGACTGAGCCACCCAGGCACCCCTGACAAGGCCTAATTCTTTTCTGGACCGTTCTAGGTGTTAGGATTGTTTTTTCTTTCTTTATTTCCTTCATGGTAGCTTCTACCTACATCTACCTAATGGAGCCACTCACATTAGTCTAATCCTTTCTCCAAAGACAGCCCTTTATAAACAAAGAATTCAGATAGTCATCCTGACTCTTTTTCAGGTTAAATACCTTTAACCTGTCCCTTGAGCCACTTTTTGTTTTCCATTGCTTCTAGATTTCTTACAGTCCTGGTACCCCGTTTTGAAGTGCCCTGGGCATCCATCGCTGCCGAGGAAGTAGGCAACACAGAACTGAATACAATTTGAGTCCCTATCTGACCCATCCAGATGGTAACAAGCCAGGGGCTATCTTGTTTGAAAGACCGTTTTCTTTTTCAGAGCTACTTTTCCTGTGTGTTTCATTTGTTTTATCAAAAGCACTACAGGATCGTAGTGGGAATGGCAGACGAAGGGCCTCTGAAAATCCTCTCTTCCATGAAAGTGATGGGCGCACCAGCCTATTTGTCAAAATCAATGTTTTCGGAACTCTAGAAATTGATCAAATTATAACCGTCCAGGGAGCGTTTGTTCAAGAACAGCTGACTCTCTATAAGAACAGTAAGTTTGGGGGCCCCCGGGGCGGGGCTCAGTCGGTTCAGCATCTGACCCTTGATTGCGGCTCACGTCAGGATCTCACAGTTCCGAGAGATCGAGCCTCAAGTCAGGCTCTGTGCTGACAGTCCAGAGACTGCTTGGGATTCTCTTTCCCTCTCTCTCTCTGCCCGTCCCCTAAAATAAATTAAATAAACATCAAGAAAAAAGGATAGTTGCAGAAGGCTTTGGGCTGACAGCTCAGAGCCTGGAGCCTGCTTCGGATTCTGTGTCTCCCTCTCTCTGTGTTCCTCCCCTCCCCCGCTAGCATTCTGTCTCTCTCCCTCTCAAAAATAAATAAAAAATAAAAAATAAAATTTTAAATGGGGCGCCTGGGTGGCTCAAGTCGTTAAGCGTCCAGCTTTGGCTCAGGTCATGATCTTGCAGTTCATGAGTTCAAGACCCGCAGTGGGGGTCTTATGCTGACAGCTCAGAGCTTGGAGCCTGCTTCAGATTCTGTGTTTCCCTCTCTCTTGGTTCCTCTTCCTCTCTCTCTCTCTCTCTCTCAAAAATAAATGAAGGTTAAAAAGAATTTTTAAAAAAGAAGGATGAGTTTTGTGGGGTTTTAGTTTGCCCTGTTCCAGTTCTCCCCTCCCCAGCTCCATGAAAGCCTTGAAAACAGCCTCACAATCATGCGGAAAAGAGACCAGCAGTCCCGCAGCCCTGGAGCGGGCAGAATGGGGCTGGGGCTGCTCCAATGTCCCATCTGCATCCCCAGTCAAATGCCATTATTTGACTTGTCTGGAAATTCTTGGGAAAATCCCACTCGCAAGGACTGAGTTTATTTTCCATCGCTCAGAGCTTCTTCAGTGTTAACTCACAGCCTTTTCCTTGCAAGTGTTTGTCTAGAACAAACAAACAGGGGCGATTATGTAACATTGCAGCTTCCTAGGGCATTAATCACAGCTGGAACAAACAACAGGCTCATAAAAGATCTTAAAAGGGAAACCAGGGGAAAGAAGGTGGTGGTGAAAATCTTGGACATATTCCTGGGAATCTGGAAGGCCGTGTGCAAGTACAGGGCTGTGTGGCATAACCAGGGCTGTGCTTGTGCCCCCCAAAGATTTGAGAAAGTCCTAGGCTCTCAGGCTGGCTGATGTTTCGCCCTGCGTCAGCAGAAAGAAAAGGCCCTGGTAAAGTTGTGAAATGCCTGTCTGAACGTTGAAAGCATGCTCCGAAATTCACAAAAAGCCCCACCTCAAAGATTGAGAAACTTATTGACGGCAGGCATCTAAGGAAGTCCTCGTCCAATCATTAGGTGACTATTAAGAAAACTAAGTGGAAACATCAGTCAGTGGCCATAGACTCCAAAGAATAAATCCTTTACGGAGTTAGTTCAGAAAAGTCACCAAACAAATAGTAACAACAAAAAGCAGTAACAACAGCAGACTCTGGGGAAGGAGGGAACTTGATTTCCAGGGTGACCATATGCTATTATTTAAAAGGTCTTGGGGCACCTGGGTGGCTCAGTCGGTCAAGCTTCCGACTTCAGCTCAGGTCATGATCTCGAGCCCCAGGTCGGGCTCTGTGCTGGCAACTCAGGGCCTGGAGCCTGCTTCGCATTCTGTGTCTCCCTCTCTCTCTCCCCTTCCCCACTTGCACTCTGGGTCTCTCTCTCTCTTTTTTTTTTAATTTTTTTTTTTAACATTTATTTATTTTTGAGACAGAGAGAGACAGAGCATGAACGGGGGAGGGTCAGAGAGAGGGAGACACAGAATCGGAAACAGGCTCCAGGCTCTGAGCTGTCAGCACAGAGCCCGACTCGGGGCTCGAACTCACGGACCGTGAGATCGTGACCTGAGCCGAAGTCGGCCGCTCAACCGGCTGAGCCATCCAGGCGCCCCTGGGTCTCTCTCTCTTAAAAATAAATAAACATTTTAAAAAAGTTGTAAAAAAAAGGTCTCGATTTTTTTCAAAAAATTACAAGCCATGCAAAGAAACAAGAAAGAATGGCCCATACGCAAAAAAAAAAAAAAAAAAAAGGCAGTTAATATAAACCCTTGCTGAGGAAGTACAAACTTCCTCCTGTACTGTACAAAGACTTCAAGCCAGCTATCTTAAATATGTTCGAAAAACTAAAGGAAGCCGTGTTTAAAAAACTGAAGAAAGTATGAAAACATTGTCTTGCCAAAGAAAGGGTATCAATAAAGAGATAGAAATTATACTTTTTTTTTAAAAAAAAGGACCGAATATCAATGTTAAAAATGAAATATTCAGTAAATTTGAGCTGGAAATCTGGTACACACCATGGAGGGGGGTGTGCCCGAGGGAAAAGGAAACAGAGGAGGAAACAGGAAAAGGAAACAGGAGAAGAGATGCGCTGTTGTCAAGTTCTTAACCTCCTGCAGAGGGGACCTAGCCCAGCACCTGACGCCGATCCTGGCACAGAGTTGGCACTGGATGCCGTGTGGCATTGGCCATTGGTGATTTGGTTTCAGCAACATCTTATCGTTAACACTCTGATACGCTAAATCTGGTGGCAGGTCATGACGATTTTCTGGATAATTCCATCGAAATTACCTGAATGTCTGAAACTATAGCACTTTGCTGATTCATTATGGTAGAGTGGGTTCACTAGACAGTGGACACTGCCCGGAGATGACCTTCTTGTTTTCCCCGCAATGTAACTGTACTGGTTTTCTATTGCTGCTGTGACCACTTATCACAAGCCCAGTGGCTTCAAACAACCCAAATATATTAGCTCACAGTTCTGGAAATCAGAAGGCCAAAATGGGTCTCACTGGGATAAAATCAAGATGTCGGCAGGATTTTGTTCCTTCGGGAAGCTCTATAGGAGGACCTGTTTCCTTGCCTCTTCCAGCTTCTAAAGGTTACCATCATTCCTTGGCTTGTGGATCCTTTCTCTATCTTGAAAGCCAGTGGTACAACATCTTCAAATCTCTCTCCCTCTCTCCGATGCTTCTGTCTTCCTTTTTCTCTTATAGGGACTCCTGTGACTACATTGAGCCCACGCACATAATGTAGAACCATCTCCCATCTCAAAATCACATCTACAAACGTCTTTTGACACGTAAGGTGACATATTCACGTGTTGCAGGAAATAAGTGGGGACATCTTTGGGAGACTCTAAGTCTGCTTACTACAATCACACAGGGAACTGGTAGCCACACACTCGTGAGTTCGAGCCCCGCGTTGGGCTCTGTGCTGATGGCTCAGAGCCTGGAACCTGCTTCGGATTCTGTGTCTCCCTCTCTCTCTGCCCCTCTCCCACTCGCACCCTGTCTCTCTGTCTCTTAAAAATAAATAAACGTTAAAAATTTTTTTAGAAAAGAAAATGAAATAGTAGGCATACAATTACCAATTTCTGAGAGTGCACAGGGCTTCAGGGAGAATCCAGATGCCACGTTAGCCAGGAGCTTTATACTGGTGGGTGTTCCTCCTGCACTGTGCTTTAAAAGGCAGGTGTTCCTGAATGTGGAGAAAAGAGGTTACTTCTCTCCCCAAACTGCAAGATGCACGCAGAAGCCCATTTTGCGTTGAAAGGATCTATGGTCGGTGGGAAATGAAGCAATCAGAACAATGACTTTGCAAATGAGTGGGTTCGGGGTTTGTATTATTAATCAGAGAGACATCTTTCCGCTCTACCCAAGGAAGCTTCGGGTGAGAATGGGGCGGGAGACATTATTCAACCAAACCCTCATTCCCCAAGAGATGGAAGTTATTCTCCTTAGAAAAACTGGCAACAAAACTGAGCACATAAATAAGTGGAGTGGTGAGGTCTAAAAGCCCTGTTTGGTTTTCCACTGGGCGGAAAAAAAAGTTATGAAGCGTACAATTAAATGTCAAAAGCACCATCGGAAAGGACAGACGCTATGAATGTTACTCACCGGTACTCTGCATTGTAAAACGTGCGAGTGGCGTACGTGAAAAACTGGCAGTGAATGCTGTTGGTGCACTTTTTTTGGCATTCTTCAACACTTTCAACCTTAGAGACGTTAAAATTGACTCCTCTCATATCAATTCCTTTATGAATGTCTCGATGGCAAGCTGTACACACAAGATGCACAGAGCAAATTCAGTCCGTTTCCTTCTAGAAGTAGATCATCGGTTAGGGTAGTTTTGAAGGATGATACTCTGTTTTTCACACCTGCCCCATTAGTTAGGGGATTTGGAGTTTTTGTTACATCACTAGATGATCAAACTCTGCTTGAAATAAGCACATTCCAATATGTTTTAGAGCACTACCATGGAGAAGGGGTAACTGTGCTTCCCAAATTGTAAAGTACGTGCAAAACAATACGGGTAATAGTTCACCCTGGAATTAACAATAAGCAGAGGAAGGCAAAGGAGGCTAATAATGGGGGCCCTGGTGATTGTTCTAGGAATTTGCATTGTTATACTAACTGATGTGCCTTTGACTTCCTGCACTGAATGAAGAAGCTTCTCACTTTGCTTCTTGGCTTTCAACCGCTCCTGCCTGATGGCGAATTTCATCCGTAAGCCCTGCCACTGACATCCATGTGTCAAATCGTTATCATAAAAGGTGAACAGCTCTTGTATATTCATGAGGAATCCAATTTTATTCTTGCTTTAAAATTTGGTTAAATTCCACTTAAGCATCCTTTCAGTTGGAATGTATCTTATATACAAAAAATATAGATAATTATTTTAACAGACAGTGAACCAAATTTGTGATTTAGGCTTTTTTTAATTTATTTTTTTATAAAACTTTTTTTTAATGATTACTTATTTTTGAGAGGGAGAGAGAGAGAGAGAGTGCAAGCAGGAGAGGGGCAGAGAGGGAGGGACATACACAATCCGAAGCAGGCCCTAGGCTCTGAGCTGTCAGCACAGAGCCCGACACAGGGCTCAAACCCACGAACCTGTGAGATCATGACCCGAGCCGAAGTCGGCCACTCAATTGACTGAGCCACCCAGGCGCCCCTAGGCCTTTTTTTTTTTTTTTTTTTTAAAGCGCTCAAATACATTAGTTAGAGCCTTGGATAAAGAAACCAGCAGTATAAACCATAATGTATTGGATGTAATGTTCCACTCCTCAGGGGTATGGTTAAAAAAGGCATAAAACTACATGTAATGGTGGGAAAGACAGAAAATGTACAAACTAGTAGGAAAACAATATATTGAGGTGGGTGGAGCAGTGGATAATCCACAGTGATTCACGCACACAAGAGTCTGTAGATTCTAGAAACGAAGTCTCTTTCCAGTTCTGGTGCGCATGAGAAAAGAAACTCACTGAGTTGGAATGGGTTAATTGCAAACTAAAACTTTTCTTTATGATCAATTGAAAGCTATAAATCTACCAATAACTGTTTAAATGAAAATTGGTCCTGAGCTTAGGGACTTTATGTCCTTGGGAGCAATTATTCACTTTAATTTGAGATACTCGGGGAGAGTTAGAAGGGAACATTAAATCAAGTTCTATAAGACTGAGTTTGGGAAAAAATTAACAATGACTACTAGTTATTGAGAAAAGCAAAATATTGTTCTTTAAATTTTATTATAACATAATGAAAAATAATGCTTAATTGAATAATTTACATTAAGTTGTATGAGGACATAAATTTGATCTTATAAAATGGGACATGTACTCGTCCTCAGGTAAGCCACATATTGGCTAAGTCAGATCCCCATGTTTATAACGAAGGACTGGATACTATACAAACTGCGGATGCATATGCATGAGTATTGAGGGAGTGGTTGGTGGTAACTGGGGAAGGAAGGATAAAAAAAAAACCCCAAAACTTTAGGGGGCCCCTGGGTGGCTCAGTCAGTGAAGCCTCCAACTTCGGCTCAGGTCATGATCTCACTGTTCATGCGTTCCAGCCCCGCCTCGGGCTCTGTACTAGTAGCTCAGACCCTGGAGCCTGCTTGGGAGTCTGTGTCTCCCTCTCTCTCTGCCCCTCCCCTGCTCATGCTCTGTCTCTCTCTCTCTCTCTGTCTCTCTCAAAAGTAAATAAACATTTAAAAAAAATTGTAAAAACTTTAAAACACCTGAAATATGAAAGTACAGAATTAACTGTAAGCAGTAAAAGTAAAACAGCAGTGATACATAGTCACAACATGGTTATCTGAAGGTTCTGCCAGCCCATCAATTGAGAGATTCTTTTCTGTACCTTTCACTTTCAGATCAGCGATGTCAGGCAAATGGTTCATTTGCCTTAAATTAGGATAGGGTCGGAAATGTTTCACAAGACATTAGTAGCAATAAGTGTTAGAATTTAAATTTCCTGGCCTCTTAGTCCTCACATTTTTTTTTTGAAGAAGTCTCATTCTTTTTTTTTTTTTAAGTTTCTTTATTTATTTTGAGAAAGAGAGAGAGAGCACACATACATGAGCAAGTGGGAGGAGGAGAGAGAGAGGTAGAGAGGATGAGAGAGAGAGAGAGAGAGAGAGAGAGAGAATCCCAAGCAGGCTCCACACCATCAGTATAGAGCCTGATGTGGGGCTTGAACCCACAAACCACAAGATCATGATGGGAGCAGAAATCATGACCTGAGCAGAAATCAAGAATCAGACGCTTAACCGACTGAGTCACCCAGGTACCCTGGAGGTATTATTCTTATTAGCAAGGTTTACAGAGCCCAGGCCTTCAGGTTGGGGGCATAATGGGGTTTTGTAACCTCTGCATTATTGACATTTGGGACCAGGAAATCTTTGTCATAGGGGTTTCCCTATGTGGAATCTTTAGCAGCATCTCTGACCTCCATCCACTAGATGCCAGCAGCATCTCCCCACGTTGTGACAAATGTCCCTTGGAGGAAGGACAAAGTCACCCCTGGTTGAGAACTATTGAGAACCACTGGGGCACAAATTATCTCAAGTAACACGGGAATAGAGACACTCTCCGTGTTCTCTTAAAGAGCCTTATCTGCAACTGGAGGTGGGGGAAGGAGGCAATTATTTGAATGTGGTTCACTTTCTGCAAATCTTATACTGTAGGGCTAACCTCGTAAAGAATAGAGGCTCCTTAAGCACGTAACTGGTAAAGGCAAGAGGGAGGACACATCCAGAACAGTGCCCCATCTCTGTTATCCTTCTGAGTACTCCCTTCCAAAAGTCCAAGGCAGCACAGAGATTGAACAGAAGCTATTTTAAGGTGAACCCCCTACTCATTCAAATAAGAAATCAAGAAATCAAGAGCTTACCACTTATTTGATGGCCGCATTGCTTTAAGGAGTGTCCAGAAATTGTATTTGCCCATGACATTTTTGGCAGGGTTCCCGTAGCACTGTCTTTCAAGAAGCAACCAAATCTGTTTTTAAAAGTACTGTCAGTTAGAGAGCAGAATAATAAACACACACTGGTGAGATGTCTAACGATTTCAACGTTTATTTATTTTTGGGACAGAGAGAGACAGAGCATGAACGGGGGAGGGGCAGAGAGAGAGGGAGACACAGAATCGGAAACAGGCTCCAGGCTCTGAGCCATCAGCCCAGAGCCTGACGCGGGGCTCGAACTCACGGACCGCGAGATGGTGACCTGGCTGAAGTCGGACGCTGAACCGACTGCGCCACCCAGGCGCCCCTGTCTAACGATTTCTATACACTAATAAATGTGGCCAGGAATAAGGAAAATAATAGAGCTTCCCTGACGCTTGCTAGAAAGAACATTCTTAGAGGCAATTGCATAAAATCTAACAGGCTTTGTAATACCTAACCTCAGCATTATTTCTCTTTAAAAAAAACATTTTTAAGTACAGAAAGTCAATCATATTAAAGAGGTAATGATTTTTTTCCCCATGTTTCTAAACTTTTGGAGGATTATGTTCTCACCTGGTGACTGTTTTCACGTAAGAAATTAAATCGGTCATAAGAGTTGGTTCTCTATAAGGTGTTCATCTTGCTCATTAACTCCTTCTAGTTCACAGTAATGGAACACTTCTGCCTTTGATGTCAATCTTCTTGGTAATCTTTCACAAGGATTCTGGAACCTAACTCAACTTTTTATTTGAAAAGTTGATGCCTGTCACATACAGTCTGGGTTTTCTGTACACCCTTACCATGTTGAATCAGGGGATGTTTATCTAGTTTCTCGTTTCTTTTTAAATTTTTTTTTTCAACATTTATTTATTTTTGGGACAGAGAGAGACAGAGCATGAACGGGGGAGGGGCAGAGAGAGAGGGAGACACGGAATCGGAAGCAGGCTCCAGGCTCTGAGCGGTCAGCCCAGAGCCCGACGCAGGGCTCGAACCCATGGACCGCGAGATCGTGACCTGAGCTGAAGTCGGACGCTTAACCGACAGCACCACCCAGGCGCCCCTAGTTTCTCGTTTCTAAATTCAAATGGTGTTAAGATAAAAGGCTTCTGGAAACGGAACAACACAGAAATGTTCATTCTGTATTTTGAACAAAATGAAAGCAAATGATTATGAAACCATGGCTGCATGACCTAATAAGATTTTTAGTGACTATTTTTTCCAGTGCTCTTACTTTTCCAAAATGCCAGTAATATGCATTTTCACGTATGCGCATGCCCCCCTCCACACACACATAATGTATGTACCACAGGTGCCCAAAGTCATTCACTACAGGCCCCTTCAGTCCAGAACTTTCCTGAGGTCACAAGCTCTGGAAATGCCTCAACTTTATCGTCAACAACATGTTTGCCTTCTGTTGTATTTTCTTAAGACCGTGTTATCCACCAACACGATCACGAGTCAGGCAATAAGTATGTTTCCTTGTTCAGGTGAAATATTCACCTGTTTTTAGACCCTTCCTTGAGACAATCGCTTAACCCAATGGTTTTCAAGCATTTTCCTCGAGGCCTTGGGTAGGCAATGCCTCATTTCTACTACTTTAGGCGAAGGCAACAGTTGTTCTAGCATGTGTATTTCCAGGCCCAAGCCACTCTGGTTCAGTAGACCAAACGGTTCGGGGTCTAAGGCTGTGGCCTAAGACTCTGCTAATGTAAGAACCAACCGCTCTAGGTGACTCCAATGAAGCTGGCCCTCGGACCCCATTTGGGAAACATAACCCTGAAATAGCTACACCTTTTTTGCACGTCACTGGCTCTAGTTTGAAACATGGATGGCTTCTCCAATAATGAAATATCAGCTTTTACCTTTTGTCTGTGTCATTAGTGGAACTTTCAGGAAGAAAGCTGAAGAGCAAGCACCTCGGATGAAATGTGCACATCATCTGACAGTGCTCGGCATTCGGGGTATACATGGCAGTTAGGTCCCCACCTTTGAAGAAGGTATTTTTATATAGTTGAGTCAGGCAGCCTGTGGTATAATCATCAAAAAGAGACATTAACTTGGAATGAATGCAAATAACTATCTTGATAGAAATACGTCTGTGCTGTGAACCTTCTTACTTCCCCCACTAACTATCCAAAGAGCTTCACAACAGGACTTTCATTAGAGAGGTGGAATGACACATATTGAGGTGGCTATTTGAACAAGGTGTCGTGTTATTGAAGAGTCACTCGATGGGTACTTCCATATAAAAAAGCTTGGTTGATTTTTATCAAATCAAACAATAATTTTCCCATAAATTGTCCCCAAGCAAATACAATTCTAGCTTGGTTTCTCCCTGTTGCCTAACATGCTATGGAAATACAATGCCTTGAAAACAACAGGCTTCCAGTTACGGAACGAATAATTCACGGCGTAAAAGGCACAGCATAGCTAATACAGTCAATGGTACTGTAATAGTGTTGTACGTATGGTGACAGACGGTAGATAGACTTGTGGTTGAGCCCAGCCTAACTAGAGAGAGGCTGAAGCACTATGTGGGACGCCTGAAACTAAGGTAACATTATGTGTCAACTATAGTCAAATATGAAACTTAAGGGGAAAAAAAAAAACCCACAACAACGTATGATCTCTTTTTCAAAACGCTTTCATAACAACCGTTCCTGCTAGATTCTCACAACAGCTCTGTAAGGGAAGTTAGGGACAGACCTCATTATATGCCTCTGACTTTAACTGAGTCTCAGAGCAGTACACATTTGCCCAAGATCCACGTAGCTAACGAACGTCCAGGAAGAGAAACCGAATTCTTCTCACTACCAGCCCTGTTCCTTTTCCCAGCATGCAATGTTCAATGTTCCCCATCTCAGTGTAATGTCAGCAAACTACGAGTCATTGGGTATTTAGTCCGCTCGTACAGAGGAGACATTTATTCGCTTGGCTTCTATGAGCAAATGCAAAGGCAGGCCTATGCTACCCTGAAAATCCATTCTGAACTATTTGCTGTCTGCAATTGGTCGCCATTCTAAAGGACCCCGCATCTCACGTGTTTTGAGAATATCAAGGGATACCTTTACTGCTCTACTGTTTCATATATTAAAAGTAAACCTTTCATGCATGAATCTGGGTTTACCTTGAAAGAACCGCTTTCTTTTTTTTAATGTTTATTTTTGAGAAAGAGAGAACAGAGGCAGAGCAAGAGTGGGGGCAGGGGGAGAGAGAGAGAGGGAGACACAGAATCCGAAGCAGGCTCCAGGCTCTGAGCTGCCACACAGAGCCCGACGCGGGGCTCGAACCCATGGACGGGGAGATCGTGACCTGAGCTGAAGTCGGAAGCTTAACTGACTGAGCCACCCAGGCGCACCCGCCCCTCCCCCCCACCTTTTTTTAATGTTTATTTATTTTTGATGAAAGGCTCACTTTAAAGTCCGCTTAATAAGCTTTTCCAGCTAGACAGCACACTTGCTTGCCAGTCAATCGTCCGTTAACCACAAGATACGCCAATGATAACTTTGTTCATCCTCCAGGACCTCTATTTTCGCACTGCCCTCCGGGGAATGGGCAGCTTAGACACGTGTTTCATTACGCACTGAAGATTAAAATGCCCTCTTACACTATCCCACCCCTCTGGGGATTCTGGCCCTGAGCTCTATTACGATGACCTAACCCGGCAAGATCGCGACTCGCTTCTCTTCCTCTCGGTGGTGTGGCTAAGATGACTATCCCTTGGGCAAGTTTTATATTTAGAAAAAGCAGGCATCTCTTCAGGTGGAAGCTTATGGGAATACAAGTTGCCAAGTGTACAGGCCCAGATTTCAGAGACACCCAAAACACTGAGCGGCCAGTCCGGTGACAGTGTTACCTGCAAAGTGACCTGTGTTTCAGACAACTGGTGCATGCGGCTGATGCGCAGTTATCAAGCGGCCATCCTCCCCCTTCGCAGCGCACAAACGTGCGTGCCAACAACGGCCTGTGCCAGCCTGGGAGTTCCCATTCGGCCACGTGACTCGGCTGATGGGAAGGTGCAACTGGAAACCGACCAACATTGGAGCAGACTGGGGGGAACGTTCTAATAGGTGTTCTTGCTTATCCTCAAAAATTGGTAAGGACGATGATGAGATAACGGTGATAGGCTTGTTTGTATCGTGTTTTAGAGTTTTAAAGCAGTTACGCAAGTTATCCCATAACATAAACTATGTCACGCTGTCCCCTGTGTCCATGGACTTCCAGCGGGTTATTTGGTCTTGTAAAAAAAAAAAAAAAAAAAAACAAACAAACCAAAAACGCATCATCAATGAGAAGAAAAATACCGTATTGTTTAAAAATTGGGCAAAGGAGGGGCGCCTGGGTGGCGCAGTCGGTTAAGCGTCCGACTTCAGCCAGGTCACGATCTCGCGGTCCGTGAGTTCGAGCCCCGCGTCGGGCTCTGGGCTGATGGCTCAGAGCCTGGAGTCTGTTTCCGATTCTGTGTCTCCCTCTCTCTCTGCCCCTCGCCCGTTCATGCTCTGTCTCTCTCTGTCCCAAAAATAAATAAACGTTGAAAAAAATAAAATAAAATAAAATAAATAAAAATTGGGCAAAGGAAATGAGAAGGTAATTTACAAAAGAAACATAAATAGTATATGAAAAATGGTAAGGATCATAAAGATTAGGCAAGTTAAAACAACAGATGCCATTTTACCCACCAGTCACAAAACAATGGTTCACTACTGGAGTTGACCTAATTGGGGTATGTGATTACTCTTATCTGCTGGTGGAGACGGCTAACTGGAGAGTCACCCTTGTGAAAGATAATTCCATTACGTATATCACAAAACCTTCTAAAATATTCACACAGCCTCGTACCTAACATTGCTTATTTCCAAAATGTTGTTCTACAGAAATAACTGAATGTGTATAAGCATGTGCATACAAAAATACCACGAGTAAGGAAGATTACTGGGCTGCAAAAAATGTCACGTACATAAAAAGATAGCTATAAATGGAAAGGTGAGTTATAAAAAAGTATCTAAAATTAATAACATCTTCGTCAAAGGTGTAAAGAGACGTGTAGAAAAATATCTCAAGGACTAAAAAAGATTTTTAACAGTGGCCATTTCTGTAATGTAGGACTTCAATGTGCGCTTTCTCGTTTGCTGCTTACCTGCACCTCTAATTTTACTAGGATAATTTTTTTTTTTGCCAAAAAGATAAAATTGAAGTGGCCATAGTCTGTAGCATCTCTGGCTTCTTACTCCTCAGTATTCAGTGGATTCGTATATGGTAATGACCATGGTAAAAGCGATTAGACATGGGAGCAGATTTCCATTTAGAAGGGGGGGGGTCAGCTTCTTCCTGAAGAAATTATAGTCCTTTACAAATGTAACCCTTACCCAAGAGGTATTTATATCTTAGCCATACATCTGGGGGGGGGGGGGAAGTAAATAATCAGTGAGGTGTGGTCTTCTTAAGTGAACACAGACTCAAAATCTACCCATAACGGTGGCTCAGAGAAAACGACATTCTATAACAATGAATGATAAACAGTGTCCAGAACCATCTGTATTCCCTGAACATTTAATGGAACAGATAGAAAGGGAAACAAGTTCAAACCCCGATACTGAAACCAGAACTACTCAAATGGACGATTTACTAATTTAAACTTAAACCCAATACTTTCATTTCTGAAGTAGTTCCCCAGTGGCCTGAAAGAGTACAAATACGCACCGGGGACTTAGGACACGACTTGGGTCGGACCCAGACCCTACAAAATGCCTACCCTGAATATTTAGATCAAGCTGATTTGTAGAATATGGTAATAATAAAAATTGAGGGCTCAGTGTTTAAGACCTGCTTTGTAGAGAGCCATTTACAAATAGAAGTTTCTGTTAACACAGGCCCAAAGACATTCTCACTTCTGGGCTCCCCAGCGCCCATGTGTCTAAGGCATTGCATCTGAAAAGTAGCAGTTGCCTCTGAATATTAAAAGGATTTGTGTCCTGACTTTTGGGGTCTGCCTCCTTCCCGAAGTTGTATGTTCGGTGGCTTTCTCTGGGGCTGGCATTCTTGTTAACTACTCCTTTCCCACACACAACCTTAGGTCTTAGAGATAATCCACTCACCACAGGAAACTGTAGCAAACAAGCAAGTGAAGTAAGCAGCTTGCCTGAATGAAATCATCCTAAAAGAGAAAGCAACACAGGCATAATCCTGCTGGTTACAGATCATAGTTGACATGAAGCCTAATTTACGGTGATAGAGATTTTCTTATCAACGTCTGCCTTGCAAATCTAAGCACATAATGACCAGTACAGGGAACAGGAGCTTTCTGTATATTTAATGCCGGGGACTTCGCACAAGATTCCCACTGAGACCTCTAGACTACCGCTGTGTTTGTCCCTCACTTGCCACCTATGTGGCTGATAATTACCGAAAGGGAGTTGGTAGACGGAAACCTCTTGATTGGAGCAAGAGGAAAGTTATTGTAAATAATGGCAATAATGTCGGCCCAGAGTCCCTATGTAAAGAAAAGCACTCACTCAACATGATCAAACTCATTTAAATTTTAAAGCTGTCAATATTCTCTTTGCTTTTAAAATGGCCTGAGACGAAAAGGTTTCATGTATAAGAACATCGAGTTTCTTCTACACTCACTAAATAGGCCGGAAATTACAACATATACTGAGAGCTTCTTCTCAAAGTAGAAATATGCTTATACGCTTAATTAAAAAAATACACACACACACACACACACACACACACACACTCAAATTATTTGGAAGCAATCAGAATAATAGAAATTCTCTACCTGAAAGCGAAATTGCTTCCGTGGTTCTGGAGGTGAGGATGTCTCTTGCCACTTAAAAATGGGTGGTTCAAGGCCTCCTAATGGAGCACTGCAGGCAGTATTTGCTTGGCTCCAATATTGACTTTGGTTTTTGGCCAACAGTTCCAACTTTTTGTCCTGTCAACATATTCTATGAACGTCCATTTCCTGTGTTCAGCTATCTAATATGTTAACTATTTCATGTTAGGGCCACCCTATGCATGCACAGACTTCCATTTTCAGAAATGTTCACAACAACTGCAGTTATATGGAGTCATGCAGCCTAAATCTCATCTAACTGAACTTTTTCCATCACAGTTACCTAGATGACAGCTGACTAAGGGATGCATAGCTCCTCCTGGAAGGAACTTTTGGCAAAGGATATCTACGCTTTTCCAAACTCTAGTCAAAGAAGCATGTTAAGTAGTAACACTGAAGTTTTGAGTATGGAAGGGAATTGGTAGATGATTAGATCCTTCTCCTACCCAATTCAGGAAACGAGATATAGCGGGAGCTGACAAACCACGGTTCACAGACCAAATCTGGCCCAGTGCCTGTGTTTTGCTTTTTGTGTTTTTTTTAATGTTTATTTATTTTAGAGAGAGAGAGAGAGACAGAGCGTGAGCGGGGGAGGGGCAGAAGGAGAGGGAGACACAGAATCCCAAGCAGGCTCCAGGCTCCGAGCTGTCAGCACAGAGCCCCACGTGGGGCTCGAACTCACGAATCATGAGATGGACGTTTAACTGACTGAGCCCTCCAGGCGTCCCCCAGGCGCCCCCCAGTGCCTGTTTTTATGAATAAAGTTTTATTGGAACACAGCCACACCCATTCATTCATGTATTGTCTATGCTTGCTTTTACCCTACAACTACAGAGTTAAGTAATTGTGTCAAACAGCACGGCCTGCAAGCAGGAAAAGATTCACTATCTGGTCCTTTTCAGATAAAGTAATCTGAAACCTGCTATAAAGCACTCGTGGCAGGGGCGCCTGGGTGGCGTAGTCGGTTAGGCGTCCGACTTCGGCTCAGGTCACGATCTCGTGGTCCGGGAGTTCGAGCCCCGCGTCGGGCTCCGGGCTGATGGCTCGGAGCCTGGAGCCTGTTTCCGATTCTGTGTCACCCTCCCTCTCTCCCCCCCCCCCCCCCCCCCCTGCCCCTTTCTTTCCCATTCCCCAAAAAAAAAAAAAAAAAATAAAAAAAAAAAAAAAAAAGCACTCGTGGCAGAGTTTAGACTTCCCTGTCAGGATGCCTCATCTGGGAAAAAAAAAAAAACCAAAAACAGAACATACTGCTTTTCCCAGATGTCTGCTCCTGCTCAGGGAGTTCTATTTTTATTCTTATATTTAATAAAAATTCTCCTTGTATACGGAGATATACCTTCTTTGCAACCTCTATCCTTCACTCCTGGATTTACCTACTCGATCTACATAAAATAATTTATTCTTTTTTGTGTGCTTTTTAAACTGCCTAAAGACCATAATCACTTGCCCACTAAATCTCCTTTGTCCTCCAACCCTCCAAGTTACAGTACATCATTCTGGCTAGTAAATTAGATTTTTAGGGAGTTGAGCCTTATGTAAATATTTTATGCATATTACTGCAGTGCAGAGCCGTGTTTATTAAAAATGTAGCATAATGTTGCCGGTAAAATATTTTCTGGCTGTAACGAAGTGGCATATTTCAAATATGCATGCTGTGCTGCCTTGTAGATTCGGGGCATTAACTAGCACACCAGCCGTCAACAGAAAGGAATGTTCTACCCCGTGCAGTATAAAAGAATTTAAATAGGGGATCTCACCTGTTACCAGCCTCAGCAGAAAAACGACGAGTGGAACACATCCACCTTTGCCTCCAAAGCACAGCAGAAACCCTCAGAGGATGTCTCCCTCAAAGGTGCGATTACAGGTTTTAACCTACTCGCGTCGACTTCGGTGTTCCATTTTAACATCTCTTACAGCAAAACGCAAGTCATGCTCTAGCAAGGCAATAAAACTCAAAAGTTTCTTCTTGAAAGAACCAAATGAGAAATAACTCGACGAGGGGCAGGGGTAGGCCGAATTCTAAAATGTCCCCCAAGATTTCCCAGTCTAATCCCGGGGACGGAATGTAGGAGGAGACACCCTGTCCGTCCCCGATGAGGTTGCGTTGCGTGACAGAAGCGATTTTGCAGGTGTAATTAGGATCGCTGAACAGTTGATTTGGGGCTAATCAAAACGGAGATGATGTGGGGGCCTAGTCCCATCACGGCGGCTCTTTAAAAGCAGAGCTTGCTTCTGTGGTTAGCCTAAGGAGAAGGCAGACACCAAGGGCGAGAGGGACTTCGTTGGCTTTGACACCGATGGGGCCTGCGGCAAGGACCCCAGAGTGGCCTCTACTACTTCCAACAAATGTGTAATGACCTTGATAGAGGATTCTTCCCACAACACCCACACCGTGGTTTGGGGCTTGTGAGACACGAAACAGGGAACCCAGCTAAGCCCACCTACTGACCCACAGAACACAGAAGGATACATTAGGGTTGTTTCAAACTGCTAAGATCGCAGTCAGTTGTCACGTGGCAAAAGGACACTAATATAGGTTTATTTATCTGAAGTGAAAGTGGCTTGGAGAGAGAGGGGTTTGCAGCGGGACACTTTGGGGAGAGGGGGATGGAGGAGAGTCGCTAGTGGAGCACAGGGTGCTGGATGGGAGGCTGGGCTGCAGACAGGGTGGTGATCGGCCCTGGGAGCTTTCAGAGAACCTGGGTTGTTTGTTTTTTTTTTTTAATTTTTTTTTTAGTGTTTGTTTATTTTTAAGAGAGAGAGAGAGAGACAGAGGACAAGCAGGGAGAGAGCAAGAGAGAGAGACAGAATCTGAAGCAGGCTCCAGGCTCTGAGCTGCCAGCACAGAGCCCTGATGCAGGGCTGGAACTCGCAGACCCCGAGATCATAAACCCAGGCAAAGTCAGAAGCTTAACTGAGCCACCCAGAAGTCCCCCCCCCCCGGTGTTTTTTTTTTTTTTTTTAAAGAGAAAAGCCTTGAATTTCTCATGAAGCTGTTGTGGGGCCAGGAGAAAGGCTGACCAGGAAAGAGGCAGATGAACAAAAGCTACATCGTGCAGCTCAGGAAGAATCTCAGTTCACTGAGAGCTGAGAAAGGTCTTGGGAGGTGCACCTTGGACGCCTGAGAGATTTCTGCGTCCGCATCGCTGTGGCATTAAGTGTCCCTGAGAAGGGCTTGCCTTTAGGCTCTGTCCTTCCCGGTGCACTTCAGTGAGATAATGTTTTACATATGTAATACCATTATTATAAACACATATGTAAGTAAAAGATATAGGAACAGAATAAATTACAAAATAAATAATTTAACAGAACTGCCGTGACTGCCCTTGTGGTGAGGCTTCAGCTGGAAGGGGAGAGTAATCTGCTCTTTGTAAGAGATATGGAAGAGGAAAGGGGGCAGTAGCAGACAGGAGAGGCCATCCTTCAGCATCTCATTTAAAAAGAGATCTTCTATCCGTCCTGGGTCTTTACTATGCTTCTTTTTCTTCCTAGCACCTACCACTAGCTGACATCGTGCTACCCACTTGCTCATTTTTATGTTGTGTTTCTGCGGCACACCAGCTCCCACCTTGCTGTTAGGCTTGGGTCTCTAGCTCCGGAGCCCTGAGGGGTTCTTGGCAGACAATTATTGAAGGAGAGAGTGCAGTGGTGAATAAATAAGAAATTAAATGTTTTTAAAAGAAGGAAGGAAAGAAGGAAGGGAGGGAGGGAGGGAAGGAAGGGAGGGAAAGAAGGGGGGAGGGAGGAAGGGTAAGGAAGGGGAAAGGTGGGGAGGGGAAGGTGACAGGAGGGGAGGGGAGGGAGGAAGGAAGGGAGGAAGGGAGAAAGAGAAAGAGAGAGAGGAAGGAAGGAGGGAAAAGAAAGAGAGGGGGCAGGAAGGGAAGAGAAGGAAAGAAAAAAGAAAGAAAAAGAAAAAAGAAAGAAAAGAGAGAAAGAAAAAAACAATTGAGGACAGGGTGGTCCTTTTACCCACAGTTGTGGACCATCTAAGTCACGTACGAGAGTCACTGTCACTCTTGTAAGCAAAGTTGAGCTGCTGGTCACTGATAACACTGACAATCATTGGACTAAGAGGCAGACTGGCTCTAACCCTGTGAATGTCCCCTGTGGGGAGCAGGTGTCCTCTTGAGGCTCCATCCAATTGCTCAGGAGGAGACACTGCCACCCTCGGCTTTCATCAACAACTTTGTTTCTCGTGGTAACGGATCAACAGTAGATACAACGTCGAGCGCTACCAACCGAGGAACAATTAATTATGAAGGCACAGGGGGCCGTGAACCCAGAAGCACCGTCACAGGCTTGCGGAGCTGTGGCCACATGAAAACAATTAGTTGTACCTGAGCGGACTAAAAGTTTTAATTTTTTTTTCATGTTTATTTAGTTTTGAGACAGAGAGAGACAGAGCATGAGCGGAGGAGGATAGAGAGAGAGAGGGAGACACAGAATCCGAAGCAGGCTCCGGTCTCTGAGCTGTCGGCACAGAGCCCGACACGGGGCTCAAACTCACGAGCTGTGAGATCATGACCTGAGCCGAAGTCGGACGCCCAACCGACTGAGCCACCCAGGCGCCCCGAAAAGTTTTAATTCACTCTATGTCCACAAGAATAAAACTTCAGACCTGAGCGAAAAAAGAGACCAAGAGTACAAACAATAGGATCAAGGAGTTAGGCCTGCATCCTGGGAGAAGATTCCTGTGCCAGCACACCCTTTATTATTCAACTAAAACACATAGATTTAAATGATATACAGTATTTAAAAATAAAACATTCTAGAAATAAGATAAATAATGTCTAAATACAGTAATGATTTTTCTTTTGAGGAAAAGGCTGTCCTATGTTTTTTATATAGGAGTTTGAGGATCTCCTCTATTTCCGAGAGACCTACATTGACTAATACCAGGAAAGATAGGAAGGAGTTCACGTCCACTGTCCACTACAACAACAAGAAAATGCTGGGTAAGAGGAGACAGTAAGTGACGGGAAGGAAAAAGAAAGTGCCAAGGAGTTATCTCCTAGGAGCACAGGAGCAGGAGTAGGGACAGCTCCAGGCTGGGAGCTAGTTGAGAGACTGAATTCAGTGCAAAAGGCCCAAAGAAATAACCCATTTGGCGAATTTCTGGACAAGAAGCAGAGGAGAGAATACACAGTCCTTTTGTAGTAATCACGGGTGAGAGATTTATCCCTGGAATTTGGAATACAGCTAGCCAGAAGGAAAATGGGGGTGAATCTGGTTTAATGAAAGCAAGGAAAAAAAAAAAAAGACAAATCAGCCTGGGCAATACATCAGGATGGGGCTAAGAAATTAGACCCTTGTGTTAGGCTAATCCCAATTTGTTCTACGATAAAGCAGGGGACTTTTAATCTTCCTACCATCTAGAAACGATGGGAACTCTGCATTTCCTCAAAGGCTATTGCACTTTTCACTTCGTACACATACAAATATCAAATCACTGTTATACACCTGCAACTAATATAATGTCAATTAAATCTTAATTTTTAAAAATTCTATCACATTTCAATGACTAGCGGTTATCGGCTGAGGTTATCCAGCCTGGAGGAGGAGGAGTGAACAGCACAAAGGAAAGAGGATGAGGACTAGAAGATCACGTCCGAAGAATAGAGCACCTTTCTCCTTCCTGCAGCTGAGCTCACAAACACTAACTGGCTTTGGGTTAGAAATGAAAGACGAGCAACCTAAACAAAATGGCAATAGCCTGGCGCCTGGGCTCCAGCGTGCAGGTGAACAATTGAACAGTGCACAGGGCAGGCGTGTAGCTGAACTTGCCCATCCCCAGGAATGTGGGACTCAGAGCCTCCAGGATTCTCTCCGTTTCTTTTCTGTGCATCTTCTCTCCCCTGCACCTTCTTCCCAGAGCTTCAACTGCCAACTGATCCCCAGTCTCACAACCTGAAACCTCCACCGATTCCCAAGGGGAGAATCTGAGCGGACCCTGCTTGGGTCAGTCCACTCAAGACGGTGAGATTGCCTGAGAACATGGCATCATCAACTAGAACTGTATATTTACAGCGTGTAGATATGTTGGGGAAGCAAAAAGGCGAGAGACAGAAGAAAATTGGGGGAGGTATTGATCATGGGACAGTTTCAGAGATAAAGGGGGTACTGTTCCTAAAAAAAGGAGGGAGGTTTCTAGGCAGACTCAAAAATTTGTCATGTTCCTACCAGCACCCCTTTAGATGCTGGAAAGCAAAACGTTTTGATCTTCTAGATACAGTGTGTGTGTGTGTGTGTGTGTGTGTGTGTGTGTGTGTGCGCGCGCGCGCGCGTGCGTGCCGCACAGGCAGCACCTCTTCCGTTGTAAGACAGGTCGTTTGGTCCAGAAACTGACATTCTTTTGTTGTCTGTGACAATGAACACAGCATCAATCAGTTCACTAGCCCGTCACCTGGAGAGGTTTCCAGCCTGCAATGCTGGGTTCTAATGATGCTTGTGGTTTTGCTGATTCCCAGGCCCCTCTAGGAGATTTCACTTGCTGCTATCAGCCGAGCAAACTGTGCTGGGATCTCTACTTCGTGTCCAGTTAATTCTTCAGACTCAGGAAAACTCAGCATCAGTCTATGACGAGGACACAAGGAACATTTTGTTGGAACGTCTGCGTAGCAGTGACGATACCAGTTCAAAAGTGCTATTTCCTTTATTACTCATTACCAATCAGTCACCCGCTAATGTGTCCTTTAAAGCTATCTACATCCCAAGAGAACATCAATTCTCAGAATAAAATATAGCACCCATAATTAAAATGTAATTTATTTTTCTTGAGATACCTCTTTCCAGCAGCAGTTAGACGAGTAATAGGGTCACAGACACTTGATTATTCTCTTATTTAAAAAAAATCAGCATCTGCATTTTGATATACAGTCCATTCTCCCTCTAACATGCTTATGAGAATTTTCAATTAAAACACAAATAACAAATTATTCTGGAGCTACATGAAGATCTCAGGCCAAAAGGTAACATTAAGCAATGTTTTGCTTTATTTTATTTTATTTTTTTTTAAATTTTTTTTTTCAACGTTTTATTTATTTTTGGGACAGAGAGAGACAGAGCATGAACGGGGGAGAGGCAGAGAGAGAGGGAGACACAGAATCGGAAACAGGCTCCAGGCTCTGAGCCATCAGCCCAGAGCCTGACGCGGGGCTCGAACTCACGGAGTGCGAGATTGTGACCTGGCTGAAGTCGGACGCTTAACCGACTGCGCCACCCAGGCGCCCCAGCAATGTTTTGCTTTAATTTCACATCCACGGCAGGGCCACTGAAAGAGAGAGAGAGAGAGAGAGAGAGAGAGAGACAGAGAGAGAAAGGAAGAGAAAAAGAGAAGGAAGCAAGTTTTCAATCTAAATGCATACAATTGAGAAATAATACTAATTTCCATGAATAAAACTTTGATTATCCATAGTCATCTGGAAATAAGATCTTGTACATATATCCACTTTCTAGTTAACAAAGTTAAGCATATGCTATGAACCTTTTTCAACTGTATCATATACTTCCTTGACTTTTTCTCATCAACTAAGCCACTGGGTTGTCCACACTGGGGTTCCCTGGGATAGTAAAGTGGGTAGAGCTGCTGACCCTGCCCTAAATGACTCAGCCTGAAGCGCTCGCAAATGGCTTTGGTTTGCAAGCTCTCCCTGGGACGGCCATTGAAGAAGAGAAATTCCATCCTCTTACTCTGTTGCTTCTATCTGCTATTGCCTTGAGAAAACTAAAGCAACAATGATACTATGTTCATTAAAAGTCACTTGTTAAAGGCACTGACTGAGGGGATACAGATATCGCCTACGGAATTAGAACTCAGAGAATGTCAGTTATCAGCTGGGTAGGTATGCTCTGGGGGACTGAAGTTACTGGAAGTCTAACCCCAAACTAAGTGAGATATTCCTGAGTTACGAAATACAGATGGGTGGCTTCGCTTTCCCTTTAATGGTGGAAGAGCTCAAGAAGAAATATCCCCAAATCGGAGGCAGATAAAGCCGTGTTCTGAGGACACGTCTAGCCACAGACCTGACTTCCATCAAATAAGAGCATAACACGGCGCAGTTTATCACGGTGGGAACGGAGAGATGCACAGACCTCCGTTTCCAGCCCTGTCACCCACCAGCGGCGTGACTCTGGGCAGAAACTTACCTTCTCACTGATTTCAGACACTTCGAATAAAAGGGAGTATATAACTAGTTAAGTTCTCAGGTCCTCCCAGCCCCCCAAAGCCATTACTCAAACCTCTGAGGCACTGTGGGGGATTGGAAATTACCGAGAGGAGTCTTTCCCAACTGTGTATGATATATAAGGCTAGTTGTGATGCTATGGATAATGAAGTCACGGCTATCGGCACCTGGTCAAAAGGGAAACAGGAACAGAACTCATGAGTTAACTTAAAAATTATCAAGTCCAGGCAATATAACCTGAAAAGTGCCATAATAATTCTTCTTCTCATATTTGATGTCACTCATATAATTTTAAAACTTGAGTTTCTTAGGTCTAAGTACTTAATTACCCACCCTTTTCAAATTAAATGCATATGTATACATGCATATACATGTTCCCCAGTCAGTAAGAATACCTTGAAAAAATTCTGGAATCTCAATTAAATTATATTCTTTCGGTGTGCCAATTGAATTGAATTGGCCTGTGGATCCCTCTGCTGAGAAACCTATCATATGTTTACTTGGGTGTTGTCACTGGTTAACTCTACTTTGGGGATCGAGACCGGGGCTAAGACCTATGGTCGTGATGCAAATATAAAAACTCTTTGGGGAGCTTGATCCCAACAGAAGTGGGGACAAGAAAAAAATAGGTCTAGGGACTCAGAGTATTGAACCCAGATCTAGAAATCGTAAATCCAGTTCCCTTCAAGAAAGACCGTTCACGTGACAAGGGCACAGCCCAGGACTATGGTTAGGACGCATCTCCGTTTCTCCTCGTCAGCTTGATCCAGATGCCACTCATTGGACGAAGAATCAGCTCTCCCGCCAGACCAAGTTCTTCTCTTTTCTGGTTGGATTCTACCCAAAAATGTCTCAGGATGCAGGAGAGAACGACCTTTTCTTCCATTGTGGCAAATTTTTGACCTTCAAGTTAATGAAAATGGCATTACTTTAAATATACATAGATCTCAAAGGTGAGAAATCACTGGTCCTATTAGAGGAAGCAAGCAATTTTATATTTTCACAATAAGGAGAAGCAGAGTTACTTGATGTCTTGGTTAAAAATGAAGATTCTTAAGCCCCCTTCCCCGCCCCTACCCAGTGCAGCCCAATAGCTGGGGTGGGGCACGTATCTGTATTTTAGCAGTAATCCCAGATGAATTCTAGGGTCATTGAAGCATGAGAATCACTACTGTAGATGGCTTATCGGGCCTTTAATTTAATTTACTACAGAGTCACCAAATAGGCTTCAGATTCATCCATTTAAATCTGACCTCATTTTACTAACACCTGCATTTACATCCTCATAAGATGCTAGAGATCCTAAAGCCAAAGTGTGTATAATGCATGGTGATGTGCATCCATTTTGTTTAAATACTTCAGCTGGCCATATGGTAAACATTCTTTGCTTCTGTTTTGCCGAATGCGATTCTTAAAAGCAACAAACGTAGACATTAGGTTAAATAAAACTGCTACAAATACATTTTCTACCATATAAAATACATTCAACATGGACCCCAAATCTACAGTATTTTAAAACTCTACCATGAAACTGATTGTGCTGTATGTTATGAACTGAATTCTGTCCCGGTAAATTTGTATGTTGAAGCCCTACCCTACCCTGTACCTCAGAATGTGACTGTGTTTGCAGACAGAGTATTTACAGAGCCTAATTAACTTAAAATGAGCTCATATGGATGGACCCTAATCCAATCTGACTAATGTTTTCATACAAAGAAGAGATCAGGATACGACACACACAGGAAAGACCGGGAAGATACAGGAAGATACGGGAGAAGACGACCATCTATAAGCCAAGGTTTAGAATGATCTCTGAAGAAACCAACCTTGTTGATATCTCAATTTCAGACTTGCAGCCTCCAGAATATGAGAAAATGAGTATCTGTTGTTGAAGCCACCCAGTTGGGAGTACTTTGTTATGGTGGCCCTAGCAAACTATTCTACTTTATGACAATCTTTTTCGAGACAATAATGTAGAGTGAAGTGGAAGAAAAAAGAAACCAATTTTTAAGAGACCGTAGCCTAGGAGACATGACATCTCAAAGAAATTATTGTGAGGGGACGCCTGGGTGGCTCAGTCGGTTGAGCGTCCGACTTCACCTCGGGTCACGATCTCGCAGTTTGTGGGTTCGAGCCCCATGTTGGACTCTGTGCTGACAGCTCAGAGCCTGGAGCCTGCTTCGGATTCTGTGTCTCCCTCTCTGCCCCTCCCCCACTTGCGTGTGTGTTCTCTCTCTCAAAAATAAATAAACGTTAAAAAATTTAAAAAAGAAAAAGAAAGCATTCTGAGAAACCCACTACCACGTGGGCTGGAAAGATCAAACCAATTCTGATGGATACAAACCTATACAGTTTCTGGGTCCAGCAGAGAAAGGCACATATGCGAATGGGTGGCGTCCTTGCAAATTCTCGGGAAAGAACCGCTCCGGCTGGAATTCCTCAGGATTTGGGAAGTATCTTGGATCTCTATGCAGTGCATAGGGAACGATGATTGCTTGAGCGCCTTTCACAATTTTGTAACCCGCTGTCAAGAAGTAGACAATATGCCATTAGAATGGAGCAAGACAGATGTTAAAAAAAAAAAATTCCATCTTCCCTATTATTCTAATCATAGAGTTCTTACCAACTTCACAATCTTCAGTAAGATGGCGGGCAAATAAGGGGACAGAAGGAAAAAGGCGGAGGCTCTCCTTAATGACACATTCCAGGTATCTAAGTTTCTTCAGGTCTTCTACGGTAGCAGGACGATCAGACTTCCCTGATCAAAGTAAATACACGAGATGACCATGAAAGAACCATATGGGCTTGGGGAACGGGACATCAACAAGGAATGAATCCAAGCACCGGATGTTAAATACCTACAGCCAAAGTAGGATTTCTAATATTATACATAATCAAAATAAAATTAGACAATGTGTTAAGTGAAAGAAACAAGACACAAAAGGCCACGTACCGAATGATTGAATTTATAGGAAGGGCTCAGAACAGGTATATCCGCAGAGACAGAGAGGCTGACAGAGACAGGGGCTGGAGGAGGAGGGAATGGGATGTGGCTGATTGATGGTACAGGGTTTCCTTTTGGGGTGCTGAACATGCTTTGGAATTAGAGTAAAAGTGGTGCAACACTGTGAATGTACGAACTCATCTCCTTTAAAATGGTTAATTTTGAGTTCTCAGAGCTTCCAGATGTGCATCTTCTCGTGAGCCAGATTCTTGGACTTTCCCCACAGCATGGCCCCTAATCGCCTTTTGCTCCTGTGTCCAACAAAGAAACTAAGATGGTCTTGCCTTCCGGCCAGAAGAGACATCAACCTCCCTGGACTTACCAAAGG